AAGTTCTCTTGGACTTGCTTTGTGCTGCTATATAAGCAATCTGTACATGGAAAGTTTTACATTTTAGTCCCCAACACCGGATGATTAAACTGTTTTTCTGTTAAGGCAGCAGAGTTGTGACATTTCTGACCACAGAACATCAGAAAACGTGGTTGAAAGAGTCGCAGTTCTGCAGACAGCAAGCTGTGTGAAAATAAACTTAACATGGTTGAAATTTATTTGCACTAAAGAATGCTTTTATATTTACTGATTCGGTTCATCTGTCTAAAAACTACAGATGAAAGTGAGCTTTTAGGTCAAATATATGCCTTGTTTATTGTCCCTGCAAAATAAACAAGCTAAATAAATAAAAATAGATAATATGAGATAAAGTGACAACAAACGGTCTCATAAGCACTTTGTGTAAACAAGTAGACTGGTCTTCTTTGCCTTTTCCACCAGTATGTTACAAGGTCAGCATCCAACTGGGCCTAAACCAATTTCCCACCTGGACCCAAGTACAGGGGTCCCTATATTTAAGACATTCTTTTAGGCTTAAGCTACAATAATTAGGTTAACCAGTATACATTATCTCATTGCTAACTGGTTTAAAGCATATTAAACAGCATGAAAGTCTTAGCTGAACTATAAAGCATTAACACATATTTGTACACAGTCGCATTTCACGACCTAAATGTTCAAATGGGACAAAAATAGCAGCACTGAGAGATGGAAATTTGCACATTAATGAGACAAAAAACACTTAAAACTCAGTAAATATGAATTAAAGATATTTTAAGATTTATTTTCAAAGGAGCCAAACACACGCTCTATAAAATACAGAGCAAAAAGACACGTAGCTGCGTTCACAGGTGTTTTTATACTATAATGAAGACATATTGACACTTACCCAAATAGACATTATCTGCTTCATAAAGAGACACAATCTCCTGCCAGTCCTATGAAAACAAAACCACAAGGGAGAAAGTTTTACAGCAGAAAACCCAAATAAAAAAAAATCCCCTTAACATGTGACATTGACATGTATGAATCCCCTCACCTTCATCCTCTGTGATGAGTATCTGCCAAAGATGTTCTTGGAGGAAGCCTCAGTTCCCTTCAGGATCTCCACGATCCTCAAGCAGTGAAAGTAGTGAATGTCTGTCAGTGAAAGTAAACAAAGCACAGAAATAGATGAAGATTTAAAAGCAGTGCATATTAACAGCTGCTTAAAACACAATAAACACCAAAGCCACGCTCCTCTGCAACCCCTGCTGGTGTTGCAGTAGCAGTGCAAGAGTCTTTGGGAGTTGTCTGAGGTTAACTGCTAGTTGTCCACAAGTTGTGCAAAAGCATGCCTGAGGTTTGATTGGGAGGGACAGCACTTATTGCTAAACCTTGTGATGCTCTCCTGACTGCCATTATTAGCTTAGATTAGACAGTATTTTAAAATAAAACCATTAAAAAACTCCAATGTTAGTCTCCACTTTGTTGCAGTCATTAGAAGGGTTGTAACACCACCTTAAAATAAGAATGATAACAAGAAAAAAAAAGCATTAATAAAGTTGTGAAGTGGGGTTTAAGCCTTTATTGATGATTATAAAGTAACCCGAAACCTATATCTGGTTGGAAAGGGGAGTCCCTGAGAAGAGTAGAAATGGTGCTAAATAGCCCGCTGGGTCCATAATAGATTCATCTCTCAGAGAAGTGGAAGGCTGGGTGGGTGTATTGAGTTGTAGGGGACCTACAAGAGCCGGAGAGGAGCGCCTTGATCTCCTCGTTCTCCGGCATGTCCTGGATGGCAGCATTGATCTTCTCCCTGATCACCTTCACTGCACTTTGCCATTTCAGGTTACAGTGCCTCCGATCCACCAGCCAGTCTGCAACCACACAGAGCGAGTTTACGTCTGTAACATCTGTTTCAGCCAGCATGCTAAAGGACTACAGGGCTGTATTAGCTGCTTGTAGCCCAGCTGCAGAGGAACACATAGAGAAGCAAGTGCTTGTTTTAAATGTGCGTGTTTTTGTCTTACCTAAAAGTTTGCTGGTCTGTATGTCGATGGGAAGGTTCTGAATGTTCCGCTGCAGGGAGACAGCCAATAGATTTTGTTATTTACACCTTTTACTTCCTCTTTCCCCTCTCTTATTTAACTTACGGAAAGGACAATATCACATTAAACCGTTAGGAAGACAT